TAATAGATAGAGTGATTCTTAAGGAAGGTTTGTATGTATAATACATGCATATTGCACCCGTGCGAAGCCGGGGCGGGTCGCTAGTTATGTATATAATACAATTTCATCTTCTCATGCAATTATTGTTAATTGGACATTACTATTTACGTATATTATAAAAGTAAAATTAAAAAAAAAAGATTTTTCAATTTACCTACAAGTAGTAAAAATCGTAAAATACTCAAATCAACTTGTAAACAAAGTCTGTTTTAAACTGATAAAAAGTTCATTAACTTACATAATCAGTTGACTTGAAAATGTTTCAGATTCGTTATCAAAATGGGCATTACAAGGGTGCAGATGTGTATGGTTTAAGGTGAACATCAAAGATGCTTTCTGTGTCCCCATACTAGCACAAGTAAGTTTTCTATACAGCAAATAGTTCTATACAGTTTATAAAAATAGTTTGAAATTGTCCACAATTGATTTATGTTTTTAATTAAGGCTTGCTGTTCTTAGAAAGGATTTAATTTCCATCATGCAAGAGATGACTTTGTGATGATGTACAAATGGCTGCCTGGAGACTCAATGCCGAATCTTCCTCCGTCTTGCCATACCAACCTCGGTGTGGGCGCCATGGTGTTTAATGACACAGGTCATCTGTTGGCAGTATCAGAGAAGCACTATGAGTATCCTCATTGGAAACTTCCTGGAGGCTATGTTGAAAAAGGTAAATATTTTGATGATAAGCCTCATTCATATGTGTATTGTTTGACATATCCATATTTGCAGAGATTCACAGTACAAAAAAAGCCTTTGCTAAACATTGTATTCTATGCACCTATCTATGCCAATATCTCTGTATTGTAGTTATGAGCAATATTTAATAGAGGACTCCATGATGTATTACTGAGAACTTTCGATAATCTTAAACTCAATAATATTTGGCTCAGCCAGGGTATCGAAACTGACACGTTAACTAACGACAAAACTATAACATGAGTAAGTTATTGAACAAGCACTGGTTAACATAATTAAATTAAATGTTTTTTTTTCTCATTACAGGTGAAGATATAATAGACGCCGCCGTGAGAGAGGTAAAAGAAGAAACAGGAGTTGACGCCAGATTTGAATCTCTCGTTACTTTCCGTCACACGCATAACATGATGTTCGAGAACTCTGATATTTATGTCATTCTCATGATGAAAGCTATTACAGATAAAATAACACCATCCCAAAGAGAAGTGAATCTCTGTAAATGGATGAAAGTAGAAGAGTACACTAACCATCCACATGTCCATAAGTTTAATAGATTCCTTGTCCATACAGCCTTAGAATACAAGAAACGAAATTTAAAACTTGATATAAAGAAACGAAAAGTGCAATGGGCAACTCATGTACGAGACATGAACTTCCTCGTTGTAGAAGATTGTCAATAGATCAAATTTGTAAATTAAATTATGCGATATTTATTTAATGTACATAATGTGAATATGTAAATGAATATAACATAAGCATGAAATAATAACCATAGTTTCTGTTTTAATATTATTTATTTCGAAATGTTTAAAATAGAAATTGTAGGAACAGTTATAAAAATCACAAGATATGTTTTCTTTACTGCCATCACAGTCAGCTTGGGTAAAAAGTCTTACAGAAGTAATGTTTAGCGTCAATATTATTCATGATTTACTGGGAAATTCTTTAGTACTTCCACTGGGGCAGTATATGGACTTTGGTAGAAGTTTGCGTGGGATCTCCTTCCATGATATAAGCAAACTCTTGTTTTTCGCCTTTGTCTGGGTGTTGGTCTGTAAAGAAAATACAATTTGTTATTAATTTCAATAGCATGATAATGATAATTTTCCTGGTGCGTCCACATCTGAATCTGAAGAATGCGTAGGTCTGAGAGAAGCTAGAAGCTACAAGTGACACTTTCGCGTAATGACGCTCCAACATACAAATGAGGTGGATGGCGTTCAATCGAATCTGGATACGAATGTTGACGACAGAAATTGTGGGGAAAAGACCTGAAGAAAGGCGATAAATGAAGAAATACTACGACCATCTATATCATACCCCTAAGACATAACATAACATCACGCTTTTTATCCCGAAGGGGTAGACAGAGGTGCACATTACGGCACTTATTGCCATTGTACAATGTAACACCCACCTTTCACTATTTATGTGAGTCCCACGTAATAGAGGGTGAGCCTATTGCCATATACCGGGTACAATTCTAAACTGACATGTTTTTTTAAAAACCCCCGGGAACTCGGAACCCGGAATCGAACCCGAGCACTTGTGACCACTCGGCCAACCTCTAAGACATTAATATCAAATATTAAATAAAAGAATACGGACCAGTTTAAAAAATAAATCTTTCAATTTTCTATTTTGTTAATGTAAGGGCTACGGTTAAATATGGGCGCACGTAGGTAGCATAACTGCTGCTATATCAGCATAGTACAACTCCTGTTACGTAGTTAGTCTAATGCTAGATAATGATAAATACGATCACGATGGCAGGTAATATGGAAGGACTACTAGCGTTTTTCATTGTGACTAACCTCTATAACTAAAAAGTTATACCTTCTATAACAAAATGCTTTCATTTTAAAGTTAACTAAATTGTCTTTTATACAACATACATTACCAATTAATAAAATAGTAGTACTTATCAGAAAATATTTATCAAGAAACGACAAAGAAAAAACGTTCGTGGTTTCTTTGCTCCCAAGCCCAACTATACCTCTAGGTCTATGGAGTGCGTTCGCAACTTTTTACTACAGAGCAATATAGGCGTACCATATTACGTTTATCTGTATGTTCTGGTTGATATGATATCCATATTTAAATACGAAAATGCCTCTACTTTAGTTACAGATTGATAAAAGTATGAGTAAACATGATAAGGGGTATCAATCTTCATTGATTGTTTTGTAAGATACTTACCTACCTTCTGCTTAGATCGTTTCAATAGATACCGTGATCTTTCTTTTACGTAGGTGTGAAAATTTAGCTACAAAAATATTAGGTAGGTAGGAAATGAAGTGTGAACTAATCCTAACTACCTACTTAATAACTTTCTTTCTTTTTATAATATTTTTACATGGTGTATGATGTTTGATAGCTGTTACAGACCATCCTTTCCTTTACACACTACCCATTTACTTAAGTACATACACTTAATAGCCAGATACTAACTGCGTTAGCTTCTTACATCAATGTTAACAACAACATTTACCTAGATATCTGAGCATTTATGATCTTGCTATCCTAGAAGGTTAGAACCCTAGAACTTTGCCTAATGTTCAGCAAAAACTACTCAATTCTGCTTGTCTGTTACCATATCTAGCCTGTGTCTACCTAAATACTAACTCCAGGGTATAGCTTCTTCAGACTTTCTATATCTAGCATCAATAGAGTGGGTAGGTAAGTATCTGCCTACGGAAGCCTCGGAGAGGACACTCGTGTCAATCGGACTGTATCAGGTTGTTTCCATTCATTTTGAAGTTAAAAAAGATATTACAGATGATAAGATAGCTTCGATAAATTCAGTCGTCACGCGATGTATCTATAAATTGACACGTGTGCATGCATATAATCTAGTGATCTCATCGTCTTTTGTTTGGCCAAAGGGGTATTCAGTAGATTGTTCCAAATAAGTACCTGGTTTTGTAGAGATAATAGGATCCCTATATACGCAACTAATAATAAATAGGTAGGGTTGGTTCGCCTATTCGCGTCCATGTTACGGATACTTAGTCCTTTAAAATTCTCGAATAAAAGAAAACTACTACCTTAATAATAGTAGTTAATAGATTTTCAGTGCTAACAGTAAAAAAGACACAAAGTGGTGGATGGACGCGAAAATTTTTTAGGGTGGACACGGACAGGCAAATTTACCCTATCGCATTTTCCTTTCATTCTTATCTATGAAATAATTAACCGCCCTACGTAAGTAAGTACCTACCTCCTTATGCAGTCATACTTCATATTTTCTTTATTATGCAATGGTAGATATGGTAGAAACTTGTGGTATGCACCTATGTATGTATTAATAACGAGTACCTACAGCGTAATCTACGAGATGCAGTTAGAACTAATGTGGTAGAAGGAACTAGTTGGCGCAGAGGCTACCAGCTTCTTTGCAACCCGTCATAGGTTCAATTCCCGCACGTAACAATACTTTAACTGAAATCTGCATGTCAATCTACCTACCTACATACGTTAGTTTGAAAACTAACCCACAAAAGGAGAAAATCTTAGTGTCAGAAAAGTTTTTTTAATAGATATAGATACCTAGCTAGATACTTACTTAGGTATCTGCATAGCTACCTAATTATGTCGTGGGTACCTACCATGGCTATAATTCAATGTGTCAATCGTGTCGTCCATCCCTATAACCCTTCTTTAACGGTCAACGGATGCTACACTATTTGAGAAAACTAAACTAGGTACGTATGTATATTGTTAACCTATTCTACGAGGTGTTTTATTTTTTTTTTAAGGTGGGAAA